GGTCACTGGTCCCCTCCCTGTCCCCCTGAGTCACCGCAGGCAAGCTGGAGAAAAACCCCAGCTTCTCCTCCAAGGGCCCTGGCCCCTCCCACTGTCTCTCTTCTCCCCCAGGGGAAGAAGCTCCCGGCCACCATCAGCGAGGACGCCGAGGAGGGCGAGGTGTCTGACGAGGACAGCGCTGACGAGATGGAGGATGACTGCAAGCTCCTCAATGGGGACGTGCGTGGGGCAGTGCTGGGCGGGGAGGGGGCAGAGTGAAGGACACCGGGGCAGGACCAAGGGGCATGCCAAAGCCGGCCAGGCTGTCAGGCGTGTGCCGGTCCCGGGCATGTGGGGTTCCCTTCCTGCCTCCACCTACCCACTGCAGTGTGTGCTGTCTGTTCCTGGGGGGCTACCCCTTAAGGGGGCAGACGCATGTCTGTTAGACCTCCGGCTCAGCTTCCATCTCTGAACCGACTCCCGCCCCCAGCCATCCTGGACTAGCGCTGGCCCCGCCTCATTCTGGGCCTGGCTGCGGGTTCCTCCGGCTCTGCAGCTCACTGAGATGTCTCCTTGGGCCCTGGGGTGAAGGCCAGGTTCTCACTCGGGCGGGCTGGGGGCTCTGTAATTACCTCCTCTCCTCCAGCCTGCTGAGCTCTCTCGCCCGAGCACGGCTGACAAGGCCCGGAAGACGGTCTCTCTCCCCGAGGGGCCATCGGATGGGAAAGTAATTGCTCAGGAGCTTCCCAGCCTTTCAGCTAATTGTTTTAGAAAGCCCTGAGGCAGCGGATCCTTCCGTTGTCGGGGTGGCTGTGGGCTGCTCCTCCTGGGCGGGGAGAGGCCACCACCACAGTCCCTCCTGTCCACCTGGGCTTGCTCCAAATGGGGGCCCTTGGGGCTCCCAGCTGCCTGAGCCTGGGCCCTGCCCAAGAGACGTACCAGCTGGGGGCACCTCCCTGAGGTGGTGAGACCCTAGCTAGACCCTGCACTGCAGATTGTCCCCCCATTCCCCAGCCCTGTCGCCCACAAACTGCTGGGTCCGGGTGCACCGTAGCCTGTAGCTGAAGGGGGCTGCAGTTAGAGCCAGTCTGGCCTGGGTTCAGATCCCTAGAGGGAATCACTTCAAGCATGAGCGAAGAGGCCTGTGTGCCCTCGGCCAGCGTGGTGGGGCCAGGGCGGGGCTCCTGCAGCCAGCCTCATACCCTTCTGCTGCCAACTAGCCACCCACCTGGCCCCTGCAGGCCTCCACCAACAGGAAGCACGTGGAAAACATTGCAAAGAGGAAGCTGGATTCCCTTATCAAGGAGTCCAGGATCCGGGACTGCGAAGACCCCAATGACTTCTCCATGTCGACACTGTCCCCGGCTTGGAAGCACAGGGCCGAGGGCAGGAAGGTGAGGCTCTGGACAGCTGCCCTCCCCCCCAGGCATAGGGTTCGGACCTGGCCAGAGGGCTGGGAGAGGGGCCCGGGGCATGCTCTCTGTGCATGCTGCACACGTGTGCATGCACGCACACTGGCATACAGGTGTCAGCGCACAAACACTCCCCACCCACCTGTGCACACACCTAGAAACACACACTTGTGTACACACCTGCTTGTGGCCCTGGTGATGCCGTAAGTTGAGTGTTGGACTGCTAACCCAATGGCCAGTGGTTCAAACCTGCCCACTGCGCTGTGTGAACCAGACGAGACTGTCTGCTGCCATAAAGATTCACAGCCTCAAGAGCCCTGTGGAGCTGGTCCGCCTGCACATAAGCCTCCTGCACACACACTCGTGTGCACACACACTCGTGTGCACACACATGTACACACATCCACACAAGTGCACATCTCCCTGCACATACTCACCTATAAGCACCAAGACCTGAGCACACACCTGCACCTGCATATGCACACCACTCCCACCACCCCACGCAGGTGCCCGTGCATGCACCCACACCCGCTACCTGTGGCCCCGAGGCCCCACCACCCACTGGGGCAGGCCTGTCTCCATTGCAGGAGCCTCTGCGAGCTCAGCAGGTAGTCTGTGCTCATTTGCAGGCTGAGCAAGGACTGGAGCATTCACCGTCACAGACTACACCCGCCTGGGGCTTGGCCGCGCACCGAGGCTGTCAGCTCCCAGGTCCTTTGGCGATTCTGCCATCATCTGACAGTGGCACTCGGCCTCCTGGGAGGCCTGCGGGGCAGCTCCAGGCTCACACCCTCCACCCATCTGCCGGCTGGAGAGATGAGCAACCTGGGTGACTGCAGCCCCTAACGGAAGGGGTTTGTTCAGTCTTGTTTCAGCCCCCGGCTTAGGAAGAGATCTCTTGCGGGGCAGTGTGGAGTGTGTGGCTGGCCGGAGGACTGGCCACAGGGGGGCAACCTGAGGTCCTTCCCCTGGGGATGCCTGGGTGGCAGAAGCCTCTCTCACTGAGACCGAGTGTCCCAAATGAGATAGTGCCGGGCTTTCCTGCTGCCCCACACCCATAGCAGCACAGCCAGGTACTGAGCAGTGGGACAGGCTGGTGATGATTGGAAGGTGAGCAGGGTGTGGTGTGATGTGCAGAGTAGGGGGTGCTGTCCCCCACCCCCATACTTGGAGAGCTTGCCTGTGCAGCTGACACACCCTCCCCCTTCCCTGTAGCCCCTGAGTGCTTTCCCGGTTCTGGGGTGGGGGCAGGGGGGCAGTGGTTCTCCCCTGTGCCCCGCACGCGGGGACCTGTATTTTTAGCCATGGTTGTTTTTGTTCCCACCCACGAGCGCAGCACGCGCTGCACAGCTGGTGCCCCGGAACTCAGTGACGCTGCAGGGGGCCAGCAGGGCCCATGCTGCCAGGCATTCACTTATTCTCGTCCCCAGACAGAGGGAGCTCTGGGTCCCAGATGCTCTGGGGCAAGCAGTACAGTAGCCCGGGCCTGCTGGCTGGAAGAGAGCCCATGTTGCACCTGGACATCCCAGGGGTGGACACTGAGGCCCTGGGGTGTGCAGGAGAGGAGCTGGCCTCGGGCCCCGGGTGGGGCAGTGCCCATGCCACAGCCAAGGCCTTACAAAGGGGGAGCAGGGGGCACTCAGGCTGAGTGCTGAGGGCAAGAGGCTATGGGTGGAGTCGGGGAATCCCACCCTGACCAGCTTCCCTCATCCTTCTCCTGGGGTCAGGGACGTGGGGGGCCTTGGGCCGGATGGGGCTGGCAGGGCTAAGCAGGTTCCTAGGCAGGGGCAAGCAGAGGAAGCAGCACTGTCAGCCAGAGCGCTCACAGGCAGAGGGGAAGTAATGCAGGGGGTCCCACCACAACCACTCAGGTCCATGGGGACAGGCACTGTCCTCACCTGGACCCCAAGCACTCCCTGTCTGGACGAGAAACTGGCTGTGGCATGGGGACACTGGGACCCTTGGAGCCGGGGGAGGGAGGTTGAGGAGTGGGCTTGGAGGCCCCCACGGCATACCTTCAGGGAGTGCTAGTGCTAGCCAAACGGAGACCTCACCTTCTTCTCCCCTCACCCTGCTGGCCAGGCCTCCCTGCCCAGCTGTGTGCCCCCAGGGCTGTCTGCCTGCTGGTTCACCACCTCTGGCCCAGTGGATGCCAGCTCTCCTCTGCTGTGCCAGTCACGGTCCATCCTAGTCCAAGAAGCGTGGGACCTAGTTGGTGGCACCTCTCCTGGGTCCCAGGGTGGCAGTGATGTTCCCAGGAGAGGATCATCCAATAAGCAAAGGCACCACAGGCTTCCCTGTGCTTCGCGGCTGACCCATAGTGGGCCTGAGTGGAAATCACACAAGCCTGTTCGTGATAGATTAGTAAGCACATATCGGTGCGCGTGTGTGCACACACACGTCCCTGTTAGGGACCGCACACTGCAACAGCGATTTGGGTTCTGCAGAAAGGGGTTGTGGCTCTGGGAAAAAGGCAGGTACCATCCACGCCTACCTGCAGAATCTTTAATGTGATGGGAAGGTGTGGACTTGTTGGCTACAGATTAGTAGGGAAGCACAGGAAACCTGTGCTTACCTTGCTTTCTGGCTACCCCACGCTGCCTGCTCCCCTCATGTGGCACAGACTGATGGGCACCTGTGGCTCTCAGTGGCGGTTTGAAGGGCAGTGGAGCGCCGAGGCGCCACAGCCGCCAGGCTCCCAGCAAATGCCAGTGCCACCTGCAGCGTCTCCAGCATTGCCCACCCCCGGCGGCGGCAGCAGTGGTGGTGCTGACTTGCAGGAAAACTGGGCTGTGGCGAGAGACTCTTCTCTAGTGGGCAGCGGGAGGACAGGGCCAGGGCAGCATGGGTCCAGCCAGACTGCTGCTGCGGGAGAAGGAAGGAGGGTCTGGGCACACAAGCGTCAGGGCAGCGGCCGACTGACAGGCTGTCTGGCCCTGGCCAGAGACGTGCTCCGTTCCAGACGCGCCTGGTTTCAGATGCGCCTGGCTCGGCGTCCAGCAGGCTGTGAGCAGTTTGGCTGGCTGTGGTGTTGGCTCCAGTCTGCAGCTTAGTGCTTCTTGAAGACCCATGCTGGGTTCCTTGGGGTGGTTTGGTGTGTGGGTCCTGGAGCCGGGAGCACCCTGCATGCAGGACAAATCCCTGGGAGCAGGGAGGGTGAGGCACCTAGCTCTGTGCACCTGGGCCTCCCAAGCAATGAGAGCCATTCAAGAGAGGACCTCCTAGGGTCACCATTTAGACCCAGGAGTGCTGGCCCATGGGCCTGAGCAGGGACTGGGCCGGGTGTGTGTGTGTGGGGGGTGTTTGGGGGGTGGGCTGGGAGTGCTGGGTCTTGCCTTCAAGGATGGTGAGGCTGCAGTTCGCCTAACCTTGGCCCGGGTGGGGCCTGGGGGCACTGCTGAGGCATGGGGAAGCACACCTCCTGACCATCGGAGGGCCTCACTCCCTACCTAACAGGGAGCCAGCCTGCCCTGTCACCTTCCCGGTCTTGAGGCCCCTGCTGGGAGTCAGTACCCAAGGGGCCAAGGATGAATGGGGGCCCAGAAGAAGGTGTCAGCCTGGGGTCCCTGGGTGGCTGAGCCTCAGAAATGGCCACTGGCCCCATCAGTGGGGTGCAGCAGGCCCATGGGAGAGCAGCGTCAGGCATGTGCAGGTACAGGCACAGGTGTGTGTGTGTGGTTGGGGTGTGTGTGATGCACGGTGCTTGCAGAGCTACAGGTGCACAGGATCAATGTGGGATGGGGACCCTTTCCGGGCAGAGTTGGGCCCAGTCTGGGGGCATCTGCAAAGGGCTGGCAGTGGCCGGTGGTAGTAGGGACCGGATGGGTACATGTGGCCCAGGCTCCAAGCTCGGGAGTGACTGAGCCTTGGGTGGATGGGTGGCTCTCAGGGCAGGGCAGGAAGGGACCCTGGGGAGAGCTTCCTCAACAGCAGGTCAGTCCTGCCCCAGCCGTGTCTCTGATGTGTCTCTGGTGGACACAGAAGGCAGCATCCAGAGCAGGACGCGCGCGCGCACACAGCTGGGCCTCCTCCTCCAATGAGTCCATGTCTGAGCATGCTCACTGAGCGGCTGGGGGCGGGGGTACAGAGCAGGGAGCTGAGGGGCTATCCTGACCCCCAAGCCAAACCCCCTCACCCCCACTGGGTCGACAGGGACTCAGAGCGAGCCTTCAGGACAGCGTAGAACTGCCCCCTGTGAGTTTCCAAACCGCCACTCTTTATGGGAGTAGAAAGCCTTATCTTCCTACTGGTGGTTTCGAACTGGTGACCTCTGCGGTTAGCAGCCCCACATCATAACCCCTGTGGCACAGGGCTCCCTCTTCTGACACATGGACTGTGGGAAGCCCACCATTCTCCATGGAAAACCATGCAGAAAGGGAAACTTGATGTGTGTGAAGAAGTACTTTGTGTAGAGGTAGTGTGTGTGTACATGCACACACATGTGCAAAACACTTCCGTCAGTTGCTCAATGACCCCAATTTGCTCTGGGCTTGTATTTTCACGGGTAGCCGTACCGTCCCATCCCAGTGAACCTAGCATCTGTCCTGGGCCCAGCCCCTCCCTCTCTGCCTGCTGCCTCCCCAGGCCCTGCTCAGTGCCCCTCTTCCAGGAAGTCCTCTGGTGCCTCCGGTGGCCAGGCTGTCAGGAGCCCCCTCAGGTCAGGCCCTGTGGCCTCACTGGCCCCTCTCCCCTTTGTCTCAGGGCAAAGCTGAGGAGGACGTGGACTCCGGGGAGGATGCTGGAGCTGGTCGGCGCAACAGCCGGCTCCTTGTGCACAGCTTCTCCAAGCGAAAGGTCCGCCGGGCTCCCCAGCCGGGGCCCTGAGCCCACTGTCCTCGAGGGTGGAGTGGGTGGCTTAGCCGCAGGGCCAGGGGTGGGGCTGCACCCAAGCAGGTGCCACAGTGCTTTCTCTTGCCCCCGCTCAGACCCCGGGGCTTGGCTGAGCGTGCACTGGGGACAGGCAGGGTGGGACTGTGGCAGGGGGCCGGTGGCCATCGCTAAGCGTAGAGGGGCCTGGGAGGTAGCGTAGCTGAGGCCAGGAGGGCAGACCCACCTCCCTGCTACCCGGGCATCCACACACCCTGGTGGGGCTCACCGCCTCTCTCCTCCCCCAGAAAAAGGGCAGCAAGCTAAAGAAGGTGGCCAGTGTGGAAGAGGGAGCCGAGGACCCGGACCCCCAAGGAAGCCAGAGCCGAGGGTCAGTGCCCACACACTTCCGCATTGAGAGACAGACTCTGGAGCCGTGCCAGGGTGCTTGTGGTACAGGAGGCCGAGGGGGTGCAAGTTGTGGGCCCGCCGGGCACAGTGCTGGTGGGGGAGCTTACCGCACCTGCTCCTCTTTCCGTTCTGAGCCCTGCTCCTGCTCCCAGGGCACCCCACCCCCACCCTCAGGGTTTCTCCCAGCCTCACGCTCTTTTGCCAAGGGGCCTATCAGGGCTTCAAACATGAGTAGGTAGAAAGACAGCCGCTGGGTCCCTGGCTCCACGGATGTGCGTGTGGCCTCAGATTGCCCTCCAAACCTAGGCCCCTCTGTGCCCTCACTCTCTGTCCCCATCACCTCCGTCCCCAACCATCACCTGTGCTCCCGCCAGTGCATTCACCATCCGCACCCCTGCTCCCCAGCAATGCAGCATCTCTTCCACCATCCCCTGCACTGGAGCCTGACTCCATCTCCAGCACACACCTGCCGCCCCCACCTGGAGCCCCAACAACCTTCTCGAAGTCCCCCCTGCTGGAGGACCTCCTGGTCCCCGCTTGGTGCTCTGTCGCACCCAGGGCCTGGGCACCTGCTGTCCATCCAGGTCTGAGCCATCTGGGAACACACACACACACACACACACACACACACACACACACGGCCCCTACAGCTCTCACCGCTTGCCCCATGCCCCTGGGCGACCTCAGGCTCCCCATCCTCTTCCCACCCACAGGGCGAGCCGGCAGAAGAAGACCATGCAGCTGTCTCGGGCTCTGTCGGACCTCGTGAAGTACACCAAGTCTGTGGGCACCCACGACGTGGACACCGAGGGTGAGGGAGGGGGGGAGGTGGACGTGGTCAGGCTAGGGCTGCGGGGAGGCGGGGCAGAGGGCAGGCTGGGCACGGAGCCAGTGCAGTGGGAACCTTCCTTGGTCCCAGGTGGGTGCACTGTTGTGAGGGACACCCTGGCCTTAGGGTCTGTGGTGGGGAGGCGTGCCCTGGGGGGGTGCGCGTCAGGGCGCCCGGAGCAGGCGGCTGCCCCCTGATGCCCGCGGGCCTGCCTGCTAGTGGCGTCCAGCTGGCAGGTGTCGTCCTTCAGCGAGACCAAGGCGCACCAGGTCCTGCAGCAGAAGCCGGCCCAGTTCCTGCGCTTCAACCAGCACCAGCTCTCCCGCATCTACCCCTCCTCCTACCGGGTCGACTCCAGCAACTACAACCCCCAGCCCTTCTGGAATGCCGGCTGCCAGATGGGTGGGTAACCCCTGTGAGCACCAGACCAGCAAATCTGGGGTCTGCGCCGGGCTCCTGGGGTGCCTTACCAGGAACTGAGAGCCAGGGGTGGACCCCAGGCAGCCTCCGAGGGCCCCCCCACAGCACCTGGAGGCGGGAGTGGGGGAGGTGAGTGTGACTGGGACCGCCCCCCCCAACCTGCCCTGCAGTGGCCCTAAACTACCAGTCAGAGGGGCGCATGCTGCAGCTGAACCGCGCCAAGTTCAGCGCCAACGGGAACTGCGGCTACGCTCTCAAGCCTGCGTGCATGTGCCAGGGTGAGGTGCCTGGGGGCTGGTTCGGGGTGTGTGGGGGGCAGGCAGATGCAGCTTCAGCAGGGGCTCCTGGTGTGGGGCCTGTGGCGGGCAGGGGCTGCAGGAAGGATCCTGAATTTGGCCACTCAGGTGGAGAGAGTGGATAAGAAAGCCCTTCCCCTCCCCTAGGCCCCCAGCATGGGGTTTCCTGGAGCGGTGGGGGGCAGGAGTGGGAGGAGCATGGGGCCTGCTTCAGTCTGCAGGGGCTGGAGTTCCAGGGGTCCTCGAGGCCAGAATCTGGGAGTCTGCCCTTGAGCCCCCCCTTCCCTGCCCCTCCTCAGATGCCTTCCTGACACGCTGAAAACGCCTCACACATTTTTTCTCAGTTTTTCACCCCAACTCTCTTGGTTTGTCCTCATTTCGCCTGCACTTGTCTGTTGACCTTCACCGTCCTGGGGTGGGGCCAGAGCCCACCTCGAGGCGCCCAGGGCCTGGAGCCCTCCCCATCAGGCCCCATCCCCCACCCCTAAGGTCCCTGAGCCCCCAGCTCATGTGTAGGGTAGGGCATGGGGGTCCCATGTCACACTCCAGCTCCCGACTCAGAGCCACCCTCCCAAACATGGAGGCAGCCCCTCCCTCTAGCCCACTTGGAGTCCCCCTGTGAACTGGGAGCAGTGGGGGCCTGGTGCCCCCACTCTGCAGGAGTTGGGGAGGGCCACACCTGCTCAGCCTCCTGCTGGGTCCCCAGGCACCTTCAACCCCAACTCTGAGGACCCGCTGCCTGGGCAGCTGAAGAAGCAACTGGTGCTGCGGATCATCAGCGGGCAGCAGCTCCCCAAGCCCCGGGACTCCATGCTGGGCGACCGTGGAGAGGTAGGGGCCCTGGGTCTCCATGCTGGGGGACTGTGGAGAGGTGGGGCCCCAGGACTCCATGCTGGGTGACCATGGGAAGGTAGCCCTGGGACTCCATGCTTGGGGACTGTGTGGATGTAGGGGCCCTGGAACTCCATGCTGGGGACCATGGGAAGGTAGCCCTGAGATTCCATGCTTGGGGACTGTGTGGAGGTAGGGGCCCCGGAACTCCATGCTGGGGACCATGGGAAGGTAGCCCTGGGACTCCATGCTTGGGGACTGTGTGGAGGTAGGGGCCCTGGAACTCCATGCTGGGGGTCTGTGGGGAGGTAGGGGCCCCGGGACTCCATGCTGGGCACCATGAGAAGGTAGACCCAGAACTCCATGCTGGAGGTAGGGGGTGGGACTCCATGCTGGGGGACCTTGGGGAGGTGGGGACCACAGGGAGGAAGGAGAGTCTTATTGGGCCGCAGAGCTGAGGGCTTTTGGAGGCCAGTGGGGAGCCTGGGTCGGGTGCCACCTGTCCGTCTGTCTGTCTGTCTGCAGATCATCGACCCCTTTGTGGAGGTGGAGATCATTGGGCTCCCCGTGGACTGCAGCAAGGAGCAGACCCGAGTGGTGGACGACAACGGTGGGTCACAGCCCAGGGCCGCAGCGCAGGGAGGGGCAGGGCGAGGAAGCAGCGGCCGTCTTGAGCCGGGGCTTCAGGGCCCATCTCAGCTCCCGGCAGCAGACATAGCCCCCTGTCTGGGCACAGCAATGGCACCCCCCACCCCACCCCACCTCACCTCCGAGCGGGAGCTGCTGTGGGTACAGCCCCGGGCGGGGGAAGGTGACTCCTGTGGTGGCCTCCAGGATTTAACCCGATGTGGGAGGAGACCCTCGTGTTCCTGGTACACATGCCTGAGATGGCACTCGTCCGCTTCCTGGTGTGGGACCACGATCCTATCGGGCGGGACTTCATCGGTCAGAGGACGCTGGCCTTCGGCAGCATGATGCCAGGTGGGTGGGCCTGGCCAGGCCAAAGGAGTCCAGAGGGCACTTGCGAGGAGGGGGCACCTTGTCCCCAAGGCTGGAGTGACCTGCCGGGGCTTTCTGGAGGAGGTGGAACTGGGGGCTGGGGCTCAGGTAGGGGGACAGCCTGAGAGTGTGGGTAAGTGGGCATGTGGGTGAACAGGGTCAGGTGGGAGCCGGTGGCCTCTGTCCTGCGGCAGGTTATCGGCACGTGTACCTGGAAGGCATGGAACAGGCCTCCATCTTTGTCCATGTGGCCATCAGTGATGTCAGTGGTAAGGTGAGTGCCACCTTCAGCCCCAGCCTGGCGGTGACCCTGTGCCCCAGCACAGTCCCTGACCCCTAGGCAGTGCGTTGCCATGGTGCCCTCCTTTGACATGAACACAGAGGGTGCCAGGCCCGACAGAGCCCGCGGGGATGGACCTCCAGGTCCCTAGACTCACCATGGGCCCTGTCCCTGCCTCCACATTCCTCAGCCCAGTCACTGGCTCTTGTCCACCCCACTCTCCCCCATGGTTCCCCCAGTTCCTTCCCAGTTGTGGGTGCTACAGCCCCCTGGGGTTCACTACCAGTACCTCCTTTCCCCAAGGCCCCCCACTCCCTCTCGCTGCCCTTTCCTGCCCGGGGCAGCGCCCCCACTCTATGAAGGCAGTACCCCTCTGCCTGGCTCTGATGTCCCCATCAGCAGAGGGCCTGCCCAGTCCCTAGGGCCACCAGGCACAGTGGCCACTCCGGGTCCCAGCGCTGACCATCTCTCTTCCTGCTCCACGCGGCCAGAGGTGCCGGCCGGAGCCGGGGCTCCCCATCTGTCCATCTGTCCGTGCGTCCGTCCGTGCGTCCGTCTGCTGTGTCTGCCTGAGCACGGCGCGGGCCACCCCGGCCGGCCGCGCTGCACCTCACCTGTCTTTGCTCTGTCTCTTTGGTCTTGCAGTGGGTCCCTGTGTGCACAGGCCACCTTTACAAGCGCAGCCCCGTTAGGGGCCTCCCAGGTACCCTGCGAGGACGGTGCCACCCCCCTCCCGCATGCTCAGACCAAAGCCCCTCATTAGCATCTGCCACTCGGTAGCATTTTGGAAACTGTCCGCTGGCGTGACGTGGTGAGGCCGTGGCTCCTGGGCGCGGCGGGCCATCCGCAGCATTTACAAAGCAGACCCAGGACTTCAGCAGGGCCCTGGGGTGGCCCTTTCTCTGACCTTCTGCCTGCCTTCAGCCCACCTGCCGCCCTACTCTGCCCCCGCCCCCTCGGCTGACCCCACCCTCTCCCTCTGTAAGCCCTCGCCCTCTCCCCCTTCGCAAGCTATTCCCTCCCTCTACACTCCTAGTTCTCTCCACCTCCCTGACCCCCACCCCTTCCCCCTGGTCTCTGTGCCCTGCTCCGCCCCTGGCTCCCTCTTGTCTCTGTCTCCCACCACCCCCTCCCCATGCCCACTCCTGTCTGTTCCCCCCATCTGTGCTTCACCACGTGGCGCCCCTCGGGCTCCCCACTTCTGAGCACCCTGCTCCCCACATCTGTGTCTGGGCGGGGAAGCTCTGAATTCTGGTTCTCCTTCTAAATGCCTCTGGCCACTCTGACCAAATTGCGCTGGATTTGGGATCTTGAATTGGGACACCGATTCAAGTGCTGCCACATGATCGCCCAGGCCTGGAGGTGCTGCTGGGGGCAGCCCGCCCACCAGCCGGCCCTTGGGCTGCTCCGTGCACGAGCCCGCGGGGCATCAGGGAGGAGACCGGCAGGGTGGCGGGCGCCGTGTGTGTGGCATGTGGAGATTCGCTGGGCCATGCTGGCCAGGCTCCCTGAGCAGTGACAGAGCCCGCCTGGCCCCGACCCCAGACCAGCTGTCCAGACAGACTGTGTGGCTGGCCGGGGCGTCTGGGAGGCCGGAGTCTGAGCCCTACCTAGGCTCATGGTGGTGTCCCGGCGCCCCCATTGGGCTCAGGGGGCACCAAGCTGGCAGTGAGCTCCCTGCTCCAGGTGCAGAAGAAATACACTGAGGGGCGGAAGGGGGGCCAGCCAGGCGGTCCTTGGGGTTCTTGACACGAATGTCTTGCCCTCTCCCCATGGGGCCGCTGGCAGAGCTGGGGACTGTGGGCCTCAGAGGGTGCAGGGCTCGGTGGACGCAGGGCCCCTTGCCGCTTGCAGTCCGCCTGCTGCTCACCAGGGAAGCCCTCTCTGCCCAGGTGGTCACGACCCAGCGCACTTCGAGTGGGCGTTCCCCGGGCACCACCGACGCGGGGTTCCTTTCTCTTGCAGGTCAAACAGGCTCTGGGTTTAAAAGGCCTGTTCCTCCGCGGCCCAAAGCCCGGTTCGCTGGACAGTCATGCTGCTGGGCGACCGCCGCCCCGACCCTCCGTTAGTCAGCGGCTCCTGCGGCGTACAGCCAGCGCGCCCACCAAGAGCCACACACCAGGCCGCAAGGGCTTGCCGGAGCTGGCCATCGGCACACAGGACGTGGGCTTAGAGGGGGCGGCCGACGACGTGGCGCCTCCCGGCCCCGCCCCGGGGGCCGCGTCCCACGAGGGGCCCGGCAGTGCCAGTCCCCGTGGAGGTAAGGGGCTGGCCCCCGTGGCGGTGACAAGGAGCCCCGCCCTGGTGCTGGCCCCGCGTGGCCCCGACGGCCCTGGGCCGGCAGGCATGGCCGCCGCGTGCATGAAGTGTATGGCGGCCTCTTGTGCCGGCGTGGACCCCGAGGGCTTGCTCAGGGAGCGGCCGCCCAGCCCGGGGCCCGCGGGTGCCCACTCAGCCATCAGTCAGCAGCCCCGGGGCCGGGCAGAGGCTCTGGGGGTTCCCCGTGGCAGCCTGGGCCCCCGAGCCTCAGGGACTGTGCCTGGAAAAGGCAGAGAGACCTCTGATGGCCGGGGGGCCCAGCGCCAGCGGCCAGGTGGTGGCGGCTCAGTATCCTCGGGCTCCAGCAGCCCGGACAGCTGTGGCAGTCCCGAGGAAGCCCCCCGCTGGCCCGAGGGCACTCGCAGGCCACGAGGGGCCCTGCAGCGGGAGATGAACGCCCTGTTCATTCAAAAGCTGGAGGAGATTAGGAGTAAATCCCCCATGTTCTCAGCCGGTAAGGCTGCCCACAGGGCCCTCCTTGTCCCTGCTCGGCATGGCCTGCCTCGCCCCCACCAATGTCTGTCCTGCATCTCCCCCTGGGGGCCACGTCTGCCTGCATCCCTCTGTGCTCCATCAGCGTGTCCCACTTGCCCCCTGGCCCTGGGCCTCCTTCCCACCCTCCTGTCCTACCTGAAGGGCCCTGACGCTCCTGGAGCAGAGCAGGGGGGCCTGGGCAGCATGGCACTGCCGCCCACCCCCTGCCAGGGTGGAGCCGAGCGAGGGCGGTGCTGAGGCCTCACCTACAGGGCCACAGAAGCCGCAGGGGCTCAGAGACTCACAGGGCCCCTCCCCTGGACCTGGGGTGGCTGCTGCGAGCACCCCCGCCCCCCACTCACTACATCTCAGGACCCTCCAAAGGGAGGCTCCTGCCCCGTCCCAGCAGCTGGCCATGTGGACTCTCACATGCTCCGAGCATCCACCCCACGAGGCCAGGCCAGCCAGGCCTGCACCCGCAGAGAGCCCATGGCAGGGTCGGGGCCCAGGGTCTCTGACCTGTTGCAGAGCCAGCGGGGTGGTCAGCGGACATTGCCTCGCCCTCCCTCCCTCTCGTCCACCTTCCGAGTTCCTGCCCTGCTCCTGCCTGGCCTTGTTGTCAGTGTCCACCTCCCACCCCCCAGCCCCGCCTTCTCTGACCACCTTCTCCTTTCTGTCCCTGCCCCCGTGCTGCCTCCATAGTTAGGAACTGACGGCAGTCGAGCGCCAGGTAACGGGCGGCTCCCCGTGTGCTGTGCCTGCCCTGCCCCATAGGGTGGCACCGGGCAGTGGCCCGTCGATTCTCCTGGCTCTGGAGGGTGGCAGAGGGGAGGGGTTTATGCTGTGTGCAGCTGTAGGGCCTGCCTGCTGGGGGAGGGGAGGGGGGATGCAGGGCCCTGGTCCATCATCCCTTCTCCCAGGGTCCGGTGGCACATGCTGACATCCCTTTTTCTCTGTCCCCAGACGCCCGGCCCCCGTCCATGCAGAGGTCTGTGTCCTCTCTGTGCGGCCTGGAGACCATTGCTGAGGAGCCGGCCGCTGGCCTGCCACTGCCACCTCCAGCCACCCCCGCCTGCCCGCCCTGGGAGGGGCCCACGAGCTCTGAAGGACCTGGGGCCAGAGCTCTGGCAGGCCCCCTCGGGGTGGCTCTCAGAGCTTCTGAGGCCCCCGAGCAGGGCCTCGGGGACACTGAGACAACCCCTGACAGCAGGCGGTCGGTGTGCCACAGCGGGGGCCCTGGGGGAACTTCTGAGGGGGCTACTGGCAGCCTGGTGGGCTGCAGGGGCCAACCCCGGACCCTGGGCCAGCTGCCCCTTGTCAGAAGGGCCAAGAGCGAGGGGCAGGTGCCAGCCGAGGCAGTGGGTGGGAGGCGGCCCCCGGCCGGGCCCTCGCCGACCCCGGCCGTGTACTCTGATGCCACGGGTGGCGACCGACTGTGGCAGCGCCTGGAGCCTGGCGCCCACCGCGACAGCGTATCCTCGTCCTCCAGCATGTCGTCCAGTGACACGGTCATCGACCTCTCCCTGTCCAGCCTGGGCCTGGCCGGGACCCCTGCTGGCCGCCTGCCCCCCAGGCCCTGTGCTGCCTGCCCAGGACTGCCCCCAGTGACCAAGAGCAAGTCCAACCCCAACCTGCGTGCTGCCGGGCAGCTGCCCTCTGCCCTGGACGAGCTCCGGCCCCGACCCCTGGCCCCACGGCCGCACAGGTCCCCATTGGGCCCCCAACCCTGGCCGCCCTGGCGCCGCCTCTCCCTGGTGGGCCTCCAGGACTGCCCCGCGGCCGCCAAGTCCAAGAGTCTGGGGGACCTGACCGCAGATGACTTCGTGCCCAGCTTTGAAAGCAGACCCCGCAGCCCAGGCAGAGGCCTGCGCCCCCGGGGAAAGCCGCAGCCTGATGCCCTGACAGAGCAGCTGCGCTGGCTGACCGGCTTCCAGCAGGCTGGGGACATCACATCGCCCACCAGCCTGGGCCCCACCGGGGAGGGCACGGTGGCGGCAGCAGTGGCACCCGGCTTCCTGCGCCGCTCCTCATCCCGGAGCCAGAGCCGCGTGCGCGCCATCGCCAGTCGTGCCCGCCAGGCCCAGGAGAGGCAGCAGCGGCTGCAGGGCCTGGGCGCACGGGGCCCTCCTGAGGAGCGTGGCACCCCTGAAGGTGCCTGCTCCGTGAGCCGGGAGGGCTGGGGGGATACACTATCCCCTGCCAAGGGGGCCCCCGGTCAGGTATGTGGAGCTGACACTGGCACGCTCTTGCTTGGACACTGACCACTGCCCTGTCTGTGCCCTCCAGGCCCAAGCAGCGGGGCCTGTTTGCTCAGGAAATGGGGCATCTGTCATGGTGCCCAGGGCTGGCCCGTATGCTGAGTGTGCCAGCAGCTGCCGGCTGTGCTGGCGGGGGACCCTGCTCCTGCCCCCGCAGAAAGGGCTGAAGCTGGCCTGCCCCTTGGCACTGTGGTTTCAGATGTGTACAGAGATATTTAAGTTTTTAGAGACAAAGCACTGAGAGAAACCCAAGCCCTTTCCCCTTTTGCACCTGGGATTTGAGCCCGTGGGTGGGAGTGTGCTGTGGGGGGTGGGGGGCTGAGCCCTGGCAAGGCTTGGGTGGCACATGTTCCGCCTGAGGCTGCGCTTGGCATGTCTGACCCCCCGGTTGTCTGGTTCTGGACGACTGTCTTTGTAACTTGGAACACCACTCCAATAAATACCTTCTCGTTTGTCGGGGCTGCCTCTGGGCTCCTGCTCATCCCATCGGTGCCACCCCGTGCTCCCTCCACACCACCTAAGTCCAGCCCCCTCCCAGCCCTCAGAGGGCAGGACCTTGACTGGAGGGACCTGGGCTTCTGGCAGCCCAGCATGGGCCCTGAGAAGTGGGACAGCTTTGGGGGAGACAGGGCTCAGGAGAGCCTGGCTTGGCAGCCCAGCCCCCTATGCAGACTGCAGGGCCCCTGGGCAAAGCCCACCACAGCCCCACCAGGGAAGGTGGCGGGTCCTCTGCTCAGTACCACCAAGGGTACAGCCACCGCTCACAAGGGTTAGGCCAGGAGCACAGGAGGGAGGGCAACCTGGGCCCAGGGTTGGGGAGGCCACCACACAAGGATTCCTGGGCCCAGCTAAGAAGTCCCCAAACATGGGGCTTCATGGCCACCAGGCGGGAAGGGGGACTGAGCAGGGGTGTGGCTGGAGGCAGGTGTGTAAGTGTGCAAGAGCCCTGCTGCTGCCCAGGGTGAGGGTCTCAGAGGCAGACTACCGCCACCAGGAGGGAAAGCCCTGGACGCCCAGGATGGGCAGGGGAGGCCAGGTGCAGCCCAAGCCTGGCGGTTCCTGCTGCCACCTGGTGGCAGCTTAGCTCGTAAGCTCACTGCAGAAGTGGGGCATAGGGGAGGAGGAGGGGCAGACAGAGGTGGGGTTGGGGTGGTGAGGACCCAGGCAGCCTGTGCATCAGGGGGAGGTGTCCCCAGGCTGGGAGCAGGGGGCAGGCTGTATGGTGCTGGTTTCCAGAGCCACAGGCAGGCAGGAGTGCAGGCTGCCGGTTTTGTTGGCTCAAGAGCAGGGCTAGCATTGGGGCACCACAGACCGCAGCTGCCACTTGAGCAGGTCCCTCCCTGGAGTGTCTGCTCCTGGCAGATAACCAGGCCGAGCAGAGCTGCAGCGACCAGTCACCGCAGAATCCCTGCCCGGCACTTGCTTCTGCAGGGCCAGGCCCTGTCCTCTGCGGCCAAGGGCCCAAGTGGGGGTCTCCCGTCTGGCAGTCGGTGCAGCTGGGAGGACCCTGTATCTGCCCGAGTCTGGAGACAGCTGGAAGAAACCCACAGGGCACTCAGCTGGCACCCGCCACCACCACCACTTCAAGGGCCCTTGAGCGCAACTGATGCCTCCTCTCGGTGGCTCTCCAACCTGGAGTGTGTGCACAGGCTTTGCCACGTCCGTCCCTGATGCGTGAAAGGGGTGGGCGGAGCACACGGGCCAGGCCAAGGTCACCGAAGACCAGGTGATGGCAGCAGAGGACAGCCCTGGGGTCCCCCTGGCCAAAGGAGGCAGGCAGGGGCCAAGTCCATGGTGGGGGGCAGGCCACGCTCTGCCCGACACACTTCCTGGGCATGACAGCAGGTGCACAAGCCTCTGGGTTCCGGCTTTAAAAACTCTATTTGGTGTGTGTCCGCACCTGCTGGCGTCCTGTCAGACACCTATGTATATATTTATATATATGCATATATAAAAGTTATTTAGCAGTTAAATACACTCCAACACGGTGTCCCAGAGGACAGCAGGCGCGTCCCCGTCACAAACGCACGTGAAAGGAAGCGCATGCCCCCGCCGAGGGCCACAGTGACACGCGTGGCCACTGCTGCTGCTGGCTGTGGGCACAGCTGCCCGGCACTGTGTCACAGCTGCATGGGAAACGCGGGCTCTGCCGGCCGTGGTGTCCCGGGGTGGTAAAGACACATTCTCTGCAAGGTCAAGGCCGACGCCAGGCTGTGTGGCAGGTGGAGCCTCACAGGGCCGGGACCTCATACTTGAAGATGACGCTGAAGAGCTGGCCGCCCAGCCGGTCAGCCAGCCAGGAGTTTTTGATGACCGCCAGCTTGAGGCTCTCGCAGCGCAGCGTGGCGTGGTAGTTGGTGTGGATGGCGCGGCCCATGCCCTCGATGACCACCAGGTCGGCGCCGTGCTCCCGTACCAGCGCAGCCAGTCCCTTGTCCAGGCGGCTGCGGGGAGGAAGAGGGCCCATGAGGTGGGGTAGCAGTGTGCACCCCCCATAAGGCCCCCACAGCAACAGGTCCGGAGCCTGTTCTTGGGGCTGACGGCCCCCACTGCCCCAAGGGCCTCCCTCTGGTTCCGAGCATTGGTCTGTGACAGCCTCGCCTCCACGCTACATGGTGACCCTAGAAGAGCTCCCAGAAACCTGGGGGTGTGTGCAGATTACGCGCTGGGCTGTGATCTGCGAGGTCAGTTCCAAATACCTCCTCAGGAGAGAGACGGGCGTTCTAGCCCCTCAAAGGGCAGTGCGACCCTGTCCTACAGGGTCGCTGAGGGCTAGCAGCAACCCGGTGGCGGTGGGTGGTTATTAAAATGCTTCCTTTCCCCACGTGTCCTCACTCTGCTCACGGGCCAGTCGGGGGCAGGCAGGCGTGGGAGGGAAAGGGATCAGGAAGCGTCCGAGACTCACTACCAACCCCGGCCGGATGACTGAGTGGCCCAGCCCGACCCAGTTTCGGGTGTTCTCCTAGGACCGCCAGGCTCTGAGGCTCTCAGAGAGCGGGTACCAGGAGGGGATGCTGCTCACTCTACCCTGGCCACAGCGAAGCCATCCACAGCAGGGACACACGAGACTGGGGACGCACAGGCGGCCCCCCTCGACTATGTGTGCGTATGTGAGAGAGACTGCCTCTTCTGACAAAGCAACACACCCACACACCCAGCACGCCGACTGGCCTTCACCCCCTCCCCGGCCGCCCAGGAAGCAGGAAGTTTGGGGTCAGGGGGCACACGCGGGGCCCTGGGAGGGCGTTACCTGAGGTCGAGGCACGGGGAGCTGGAGCCCGTCTGGACCAGCAACAGCCTCTCTTCTCCCAGTGCAGAGCTGCCGGGCAAGACACCCAGAGTCCTTGAGGTGCAATCGCAGGGCTGCCCCACCCCAAGGAGCCTCTCTGACCCCAGGAAGCTCCACCCCCCTTTCATCACCACCCCATCTTCCCCGCTTACAGGTGTGCCTCCCTGCCTCCGCCCTGCCCCACACCCACACTCAGACAGGGGCCCGCGGTGATGTCCCTGCACTCACTGGATGGTGGGGTCCATGGCAGCTATCCTTTCGGCCACCAGGAGGGACTCGCTGTAGGTCACATCATTCAGGGCAGGCCCCGAGTTGCACGCCAGGATGACCTGCAGCAAGGAGGGCTCCCGGCACTTAGCGTCCTCTGCAGGCCCGGTGCCGGGTCCCCAAGGCTTTCCCAGGCCCCTCTGTGCTGAACAAGGGTGCTGGCAGCCTCCACCAAGGCTTGGTGTGGCTGGCTGGAGCTGAACCCTGACCTCCCTCGCCCACGCCGCCCTGTGGCATCAGGGTCAGCTCATTCGGAGGCAGAGAACCAGGGAGCCACATCCCAGGATGACAGCTAGTGCTCATCGGTCCTAGGCCCTGGTGACAGGGCCGTGGGGGCACCGCCCCTGGACCTCACCTACCTGCCCCTGCGGAGAGCTCTGGCTGCTGCACCGTAGCCCGCAGGCTGCACCATCCCCACTGCGCCCAGCCACAGCCCGCAGGCCCCGGCCTGTGCACACAGGGTCTTTTCACTCACCTCGGTCCCTCTACAGAGTAGCTCCCTGACAAAGGGGAAGACTCCCAAAATGATGTCTACTCCACTGTTATCTGCGAAAATTAAGGCACATTTATGAGGGGGCCCCTGCAAGACAAAACCAGGTGTTCAGTTGGGGACAGGTGAATCCAAGAGCGTTCCAGACACACCTACACCCAACCCTGCAGACACGACGCTGCTGCGGACGGTGCTGCCGGCCGGCCCGACCCAGTGACCTGTGTACTGGGGTCAACTGGCCTCATAAGTGCTCAGCACAGAGCCTGCTGGGATCCTGACCAACTGCCCCGGGTCCTTCTCCACTCCCTGAGGCTGCCCCGTCCCCCGTTTCCCTGCCCCCTGCTCGGATCCGGCCAGCTCCCTATGCCCAGGACCCCCTCTCTTCCCCAGTCCCTCATGGGCAGAGGCAGGAGGGCACCTCACGCACCTTTAGCCTCTGGAGCCATTCATCGTAGGAGTCCACCAGCCACGGCCGCGCTGCGAAGAGAGAAGAGACCCATCAGCCAGACAGGCCCCTCTGAGCCCCCGTCAGCCCATCAGTCAGTGCCCGCCTCGTCAGCTCAGCCCCCTCAGGCCCAAGGGTGTAAAGCACAGCTTGTCTCATTCATGTCCTGACCCCGTCAGAGAGGGCGAAGTGGCACCCAGAGCAAAGCCCAGCGAGTGCCCAGCGGACGCTGTCTTCCTGACACCCCAGTGAACACCTAGTGGGTGCCCGCAAATCGGACCTGGGCCTGCCCTGTGGGGGGCCATACCTTGTAGTTTCCTCTTGGCTTCCTCAAACCCGAACTGAGGGTCCGATTCAAGGACGCTGTGTGGACAGGAGGAAGGCGAGTTACCATGCGGAGCTCAGAGCTGGCATCTGAGTCTTTCGCAAGCTGGTGAGGGGATGAGGGGCTTCAGACAGCGTGTGGAAATGGGACTCCAAGGGAAATGGAATTTCCCACGAGCTTTCTGCAGCCTCTCACCCGTCAGGGAGGTGTTGGTAGCACTACTTCTGGCTGTTCGGGGCCAGCTCAGAGGTCTGCCAAGCAAAGTTGAAAAGACCATCGGGGAACGTTCAGCTGAACCATAAATGCTCAAGGGAGGGGAGGTGGCTCGCGCGCGGGCCAGTCCCAGCAGCTCGCCACACCTCACTGGCCTGCGGCCGGGCCGCCACCTTACGCATCACATGGCTTCCACCCAATGAGCTGGTTCTGGGCAGGACCAGGGTCTCAAGCCCTGTGCCCTGGGGTAGCAGGCATGGCTCTGAGCAGCGTGCCATACTACCTCTTTGTGGCTTCACCCACCACAGGGCCCAAGGGGCCAGGGTGAGCCAGAGCCCACACCAGCACTGCGGGGAAAGGAGGAGGACTTTCTTAGTGCTATGGTGTTGACTGGGGAAGCCGTAAGTGCCACCCTCAGGGCTGAGCTTTGGAGACACCCCAGGCAGGGGCAGACGTGGATTTGGGCTCTTTGAGAGGAAGCCGGGCGAGCTGGGCTCTACAAGGCCCCACCGTGGGGGCAAGATGCATCTGGCCCACAAATCAACAGGGACGCCAACCCTCACCCCTGACTGAGGCCCAGGTCAGCCAGAGCCCCTAACTGCACCCAGCCTAACGAGTGCTGGGCTCCTCCCAGCCCTGAGCTCTCCCTGCCCAGGGCAAAGCTAGCCACCACGGCACAGCCCGGCGTCACGGGCCGCTGGGTGTGCGTGTCTGTGTGGGAGCATCCGTGAGCACGGGGGAGGGCAGGGCTGTGCGGCAGGCTGGGGCGCGGGGCACCTACTTGGAGATGGCCTTTGCACCCCAGTCAAAGACGTTCCCGGCCAGAAGTCCTTCCACCAGCACCAGCTGCCGCTCCTCCCAGCCCAGCGCGTCCAGGGCCTGGACAACCCGCAGGAAGCATTTCAGCGCCGCTCCGTTTTCCTTCTGCTTCACCTGCGGGGACAGAGCAGCTTCCGGGTGAGACTTCCCATGCCGGCTGGGGCGGCTGGGAGGTGGGAGAGCTGGGCTCCAGATGCTGAAGAGAAACCAGAGCAAGCTCCCAGAGGAGTCCTGATTCACGTCAAGCCTGTGGGATGTGCCCCTCTGTCACACACCGGCCCTGACTGGCTGTTTTCCGTGTGGAGTCCCCACAAAGCCTCTCAGTCATTGAGGGGGGACCAGTGTACCTCCAGCCCACAGCCCTGGAAGATGTTGCCAGCCGAAAGGCTCAGGACCCTCGCCTCTCACCCACGGGAGCATCCCACAGGGCGCTGGTGTAGACTGACCACCTTCCTGCCCCTGCCCCATGAGGGCGTCAGTGTGAAATCACACAGAGGGGCTGCCCCTGGCACACC